GGAGGCAGCGCTCCCGGCAACTCGCTTCGGTAGCTCGTTTATTTTGGAGCGCTTCGTGGCAGGAGTTCAGAGCTGCCTCTCGGCTTTTATCTCCGCCAGATAATGAAAGATTCATTTGATTAGTTACGTATTTCCCCCGCGGAGGATGCTCGGGACCGCAGAAGCCGCGTGTGCCGTGGGCAGCTCCGCTGGGTGCGGGGTCACGGTGTCGTGTTCTGGGGATCGGGAGCGAAGGGGCCGCACGGAGCCCCGCAGCGCTGCCCGGGCTGCGGAGCTTCCATCCCGCTCCTCTCTCACACCGCACGCCTTGTGCAGAGAAGCTGTCGCGCTGGAGCTGCTTTCAAATAAACCAAGAAATACAGCTGGTAAAAGTTGGTGGTGCCGCTCAAATTCATCCATCATCAGTCCTTTGCTCTTGCGAGGTTTCTGGTTTTTATTTGAGGAAGACTTGAATGTTACTTGGTTTGAAGTTTTGTGCGGGTTTTTTTTATTCGTGTGTGTTTCCTTTCGAGTTTGATGTGAAGCGCGGTCTGGTAGCCCGAATTATCTCATATGAAAGTTCCACAGAATTTGAAATGCAGTAATTCACAGACTTCCTCATCTGCCCAGACATCTGACATACAAAGCTGCAAACTCTGCCCTCGTTCTCTTTATGCAGCTGTTAAAACGCTTCACGGTTTATAAATTCGGAATTTCACTCCTCTGACTCGCTTTATTTTGATTTTTTGCCCCGCTTTTAACAAACCGAATATTTCCAGCTTTGGAACCTATTCCTTTCCAGAGCCATTGTTCCAATGATGCTGTTGGAAAACACAGCAGCCTCCTGACGGTCAAATAAATGTCACTGTCCTCCTTCAATGGCTAAAAACAGACCGCAGCTCTTCGGGAGGTGCTGGAGCGCTGCTGCTTTGACTGACAGGCGGCTGTGGTCATGCGTTTGAGTCGCTTCTCCTTGGGTAACACGCATCCGGCTGGGAGCTCACACTCCGCTTCTGATAACGAGTTTTCCTTCTAAAACACCCCTTCTGCCGTCTCAGAGCAGTTTGTGGCTGCTTGAGTCAGGCCTTTGCATTGAGAGGGAACAGAGGAAAAAAATGACGTTTGTTGTGGTTTAATTTTCTTTCTAAGGGAGGTTGCATTTCAATGTATAAACGCTGTTGTTTTAAGGTCATACTGAATGTTTTGAATTTCTTGGCTTTTCTCTAAAGATATGGTATGTGGACTCTCAAGATCCCTGGATGTATGAGGTGAAGCTTCTACTTGTTTCTTAATTCTTAGAATTCTAGGGCTTCAGTCTCCTGCTGTTGAAGACTGCTGCTTTTGACTTTCTTGCTAAGGGTATTTCAGGAAAAAACCACTTCGTTCCAATTAACAAAATCTCTAATTACCAAGAATGCTACATGTGAACACTAAGTTTTTCCAAAGCTCCTCTTCAAAAAAAAAAATCTACTTTTTCTTGTTTTAACAAGTTCAGCGTGGAAATCCACCCGTAGTCTCTTTGGTTTTGCATTGACAGACCCTAGTCCTCTAGCTAAGATTTCTTAGTCTTGTTTCAGAAGAGCTGACTTAACTTCCGAGTATTTTTAGTTTTCTTTTAAAAACTTTGTTGATCTTTTAGGGTTGTCCCTCTGCCTTGAAAATCTGGGCTGTTCTGTCACTCCTGTGCATTGTTTACTGACTGCAATTCTTTGGCACTTGATACTTGAACAAAATGCTGCTAAAGTACATTCTAGTCTTGGATCAAAGCTGCCAACAGCAATGAAGGGTCATTGTTCCTCTCTTTTCCTTATCAGGCAAGGAAGAAAGCGCTTAAGTGACACATCCAGGACCACCCAGTGAATTGATGGGAATTGTCAGGAGTGGAACGTGCTGGTTTCCATGCCAGCCCCATTGATCCTTGCTCTTTGCTTAAAGAGTGCTTGCATCCTCTAGTAGAAGCTAAGTTTATCCCCGTTGAACTGTTCCCTTTTTTTTAGATATTTTTTATGTTTAACTGCAGCCATTTTGCAAAGTTTATTCCCTCAGGATTGGTGATGTAACCCCTGGTGGGATGAGGCATGCCAAAGGAAGGCATTGCTGAGGTCAGTGAGGTGGAGTATGAAACGCTCAGCCAGGTTTCAAACCCTTGAAGTGTTACGTTTCCTCAGAGAAGATTAAAAACCTGTTTTACAATTAGTTTTGTTTCAGAGATCCACACCAGGTTTTGCCACCCTGTGTGAGCTTCAGAAACAGTTGCAGGGGCTGGTGATGGCAACTGATGTGAGAGCTGAGCTTGCCTCAGTAAACCTGAGCATTTCCTTCACTGAGGTTTCCATGGATGCTATCATCCACTGCCATATGTTTAAGGGAAAATCCATGAAGTTTATAACCTCATTTAGTACACTTTTCCAATTTCCACTCTAACACATTGTTAGAGGTAGAGAAAGAAATTGTAGATGGTAGGGGATGTGTAGTGCATTAAAGAATAGAGGATTCATTCCATACACTGCTGAGGGCATCAGATATTTCTCACTTCTGTATTATAGCCCAGATATTGCTGCATGATCTTCCCTCTCATGCTTGGCTTTATCTGTTTTTATTTTTCACAGTGAATAGGTTGCTGGCAGGTTATTTTTGTTTGAACAATTATTCTGACTTTTTGGCATCATTTTGTCACCAGGGATGCATAACACAGTAGCATGACAATGTTACAATATGGGAGTCAGAAACCAAAGGAAAGTTGTTAAATGCCAACAGTCATAAAACCAGAAAACTCAACATCTCCTCCTGCCACCAATTAACAGCTTTTTAAAAATAACTGAGTCAGAACTACAGGTACACTGTGGTTGGCTTCCTTAAATGTAGGATTCAGAGGTTGATATTTACCAGACAGCAATTTTCTTTTAAATACCTCTGGTCCAAGCTGGCTGGGCTTTGTCTGGATGGGATATATGCTTAAAATATTGAATATCATCAAAGAACTGTCAACTCTTGCCTTTGAAATATGGCCAGTATGGTCTCCTGAAGACAGCTTCAGTCGTGTTCTGCAGAGGACTGACTGAAACTGATTTTATGAAACATTTCCATAACAACAGTTGGTGCTGAGTTGAGGTTAGGTAGGACCTGGGGCCACTGGTGTCAGAGCAGTACAGGTGTTCAAGACAGCATCATCCTTGTCTAGTAAAGATCACTTGGCTGTTCTAAATACTAAAACAGCTTCTATAGAAGTTTCCAAGTGGTATTTAGCTGGTTGCTGGTAGAATAGCATGAAACTGGCATTTTGTAAGCAGCAGGAAAGAGTTACAGGCCCACTTTTATGGCTTCTGCTTCCACTTAGCCTTCTGTAATGCTGCTGCATTTACAGGTCAGAGCTGTGCTGGAGAATCTTCGCCCATGCAAAAAGTTTCTCCTGTTCCAGTCACAACAGGAAAGTTTTGTTCCTCCTTTGAACATTCTTGTCTCAAGGTTGTAGATAAGCAAGGCAGGCAGTGTGGAGTATTTGGAGATCTCGCTGTTCTGTCTTGGAGTGGTTGCTGTATTTTTGAGGATATAAAGGGGATACTGAGCCCCTGGATAATCTAAACTTGCACTTAAAATAGATTTGCTGTAAGTTACACTATGTAGAGGGATATTCTCTCAAGATGTATTTGCTCCAATCACCTGGGTATTGCCTTTTTATTTTTGCTAGCAAAATAAAATGAGATACTGTGTTTGTATTCCAGTGTCAGCATCAGCAAATATTAATGCGTTTTGCCATTCTGCAGCATACAATAATCTGCAGAGTCAAGATCCTGGACTAATGGATAAATGATGCTTAGTTTCCCTTCTGTATGAAGCCAGTAAATAAGTTGATTATTTTGACTTATCTGTTTTTAATTTCCGGTGAGTTATTCTGGCTCATACAGAGCCTCTGTATGAGTTGTTTATAACTCTTTATGAATGGTGCAGACAGTCTGTGAGAGCCTGGCTCTGCGCCTCTGTCTCTGGAGTGAATTGTACTGTCAGGAAAACAGGGAGCCAGCCAGAGGAGCTGCTTCCCTGCTCTGACACTCAGCTCATTATTGATTTTCCTCTGTGGTCCCACCCATGGACAAGCAATGATGGATGGACTCTCAAAAATGCAGTTGTGATGTTTGATCAGCACAGCTTTCTTTTAAGCCATTCATGATGTGCTAGACTGTATAAAATGCAGTTCCAGTACAGGGTTATATTCCTACCAACCTGAGCTCAGAGGCATCTTTGTGGGGAAGGAGAGGAAGTGAAAAATAATAGCTCATAGATAATACAGATTTACTTGAGATAAGGCATTTAATATCTTTTTCTCTACAGCTATCTTCTAAAAACATCTGAATGCCCACCAGTTTCAGGCTTATGAGAGCTTCAGTCTTGTGTCCTAAAGTCATGAGTCCTTTAGTTTTGTCAAGAAGCTGTACTTCAGATGCACAGCTTTGTCAAGAGCCATAGTAAATCTGTCAGTCATATCTGTAGGATGATCTGAAGTTAAAGTTAGCTCTTCTCTGAACCAGGGATTAGCCCAGATGACCTCTTGAGGTGTCTTCCAGCCCACGTTACACTGCGATTACACAGCAAGGCAGGGCACTTGCAGCATGGCAGCTGCACGGTCAAATCATGCAGCAAGTGTTCAGAGAAGCTTTTAAAGGGGTGAAGGATAAGGTGCTAAAAGTGTTGTATTGGAAAGTGTGCAGCCACTGACGACAGTTCCTGCCCTGAGCAGCTCTTCTGAACAAGCAGAGCAGGAACATATCCTGCCTGGAACGTCAGCATGTACCTGTGAGTTCAGGCTTTATATGAATTTGGATTGTACCAGATGACCTCATTAGGGCCCTGTTCTTGCAGGTATTACTTTACAAGAGCAGTTGTGATCTGTTTATTTTGAAATTGCAGCGTGAGCAAAGAAGGGAAGAACTTCTGACACTTTGCGTCGCTGTTAGAAAACAGGCACAGCTCCTCATGGTGAAAAATGAAGCTTTTTGTTTTAGGTGCCTGGCTCAAGCTTGGCCCAGGAAGTATACTCAGAGTTGGCAGTTTTTCTGCTGGTTTACACTTAAAGAGTTCCCAAATTAGCTGTTTGCTGAGGAGACAGAAAACATGAACTGATTTTTCACTTATGGGTCAGGCTGGGGTTACTCTCAGACATGAGCACAAATAGCTCAAAATCAGATGCTTGATATCATTTGTATGTGGAGTCATTGATAAGTGGAAATATAAAATGTCTTCAATGTTGGCAAACTAAATACAATCAGTTCTTAAAATAAAGTCTTCATCTCATGAAGTTCCTTAGTCCCACATTTATGTTATCAGACTAAGAACTAGAATAAAGGATTAAAGTGTCTTGCTGTGCTGGATGGAGTCTAGGTACAGCAGAAGACTTACAAGAAAAATCTTTAAGTATGAAAATGAATCCTCAGTGGTGAAGGATTGCAATTGTTCTGGGAAAAACACAGGAAGCCCAACATCCCACGAGTACATTGCGACTTAACAGGCAATCCTGCAGAAGAGAAACCTGACAAGCAAATGTTTATCCTCTCAAACATGAAGTTTCCCACAACAGAAAAATGGTATTTTTAAATCCTCGAGCAAGGACTGTATATGCATTAATATAATTTCTTGTTGAGTTTCTCATAACACTTGGATACTGCTTGCTAGTTGGCTGGGTAGTTAGACTTATGACAATAAATGCTTTCAATAAAGGAATTAAAAAATTGGCAAATGGCCTCAAATGCCTGTTGAAACATGTCTGAGCAAAACCCTGGGTTGCCTTAATATATTGGGTGCATTAGTGATTAAGAGTTCTGGTGTCCTGGAACATGCGTAAGAAGATGGGATCCAGGACTAGGTTAGCTTGGCTCAGCTCTTGCAAAAGAGTGAGGTTTGAATGTTCCTGCTGCTTTTGCAGCTGTCTTTGAGCCCTGGTTTCCATGCCTCCCTGCATCCATATTACCCAGGAATCTTTCTTCCTATCAGCTTGATATGCTTATATTTCAGATTACTGTCAGGTTTTTCCTCTGCATTTTACCCGTATTTTGTCTGTTTAATGAGTTCATTTAAGATAGAGCAGTGAACGTGGAGGCCTGGGTGCATTATCCCCTCTTTGGAACTGTCCTTTTTCAGAAAGGCAAATTTATCAGGAAAGATTTCAGGAGAGCTGTTTGGATTAATGTCACTCATCAATAGCACATATGCACAAAGCCACCTGGCAGTTTTAAAACCAGTTAAAAGGCATTTGAGTTAATTTTCTTTGTCAGAAATATCCCAGCTGGTTGTATGAGTTTCCTAGGGCTGTTATTCAATGCTGATTTTTTACTCCTTAGGGAAAGGCATGGGTGCATATGGTAGTGGAGGGCTGGAACATCTTCATGAGTAGCCTCATCTTTGGGGGAGCAGTGATGCTTGGGAGCACTGTGTTATCTTTTCTGGAGACACTGTTTTTCCTCCATTCTCTTAACAGGCTTGCTTGGCTGCATAGATATTGTGGAGACTCTCACTTTGGAATGTGTTCCAGAGTCTGCTTAAATACTTGAGTTAAAGAATATAGCTGAGAGCCCCATGGAAAGGTGATCTTTCTCATGAAAGGTTTCTGCACTTCAGAACTTAAACCCAAATATCCAAGGAGAAAGGACCACCGAGGTTGTTTCAGGCAGTCCGCTGCCTTCAAAGCCTTTCACAGATACTTCAAAAACCTTCTTAAGTAAAAGATCAAAGGCTATGTCTTCAATATAACACAAAAGAAGAAATATTTCACTTAAGGAGTCCAAGTATGCTGTTCATAAGGGTCAGGTGTTTTACTGGCATGAGCTGGAGGTGGCAAGGTGATGTGAGTTTGCTCTACAACAGAACAATAAATATGAAAACAGTGGCCTTTGCTTGACAGCTCAGACTTAAATTTAGACCTAATGAAGAGTGTGCAGATTGACATGAAGATAAATGTAAATGCAGACTTTGTTTGGATCAGATGATCTTCTAGAAATATGGTATAAACTTTGAATAACTTATAGTTAAATAATATAAGATGTAGGTAACTGCATCTCTCTCTCTCTTCCTTTTCAGGTGGCTATGGTGGAAGTTCAGCTTGATGCAGAACACGACTATCCTCAGGGGCTCTTGATAGCCTTCAGTGCCTGCACTACTGTGCTTGTTGCAGTTCACCTTTTTGCACTCATGATAAGTACCTGCATTCTTCCAAACATAGAGGCTGTAAGCAATGTGCATAACCTCAACTCTGTCAAGGAATCTCCTCACGAGCGCATGCACCGGCACATTGAGCTCGCGTGGGCGTTTTCCACTGTCATTGGGACTTTGCTCTTTCTTGCAGAAGTGGTGTTACTGTGCTGGGTGAAGTTCCTTCCTTTAAAGAAGAAAACTGACAACACCCCGCAGAGCAACAGTTCTACCATCACATCAGGACAGGCAGCAGCCATTGCATCGACGTCCATTATGGTGCCCTTTGGATTGATTTTCATTGTGTTTGCAGTCCACTTCTACCGGTCACTGGTGAGCCACAAAACAGACAGGCAATTTCAGGAACTCAATGAACTTGCTGAATTTGCACGGCTCCAGGATCAGCTGGATCACAGAGGTGATGCTGTCACCTCAGCTGTCACCAATTTTGCGTAAACCTGTGCTTAAGAAAATGAACCCACTATTCTGCTTCTGCCTTATGGTGACTCCCTGTGGATGAACTGGTCGAACTGCTGATTACAGTTTTAATTATAAATATTGTTCTAACCCTTTAGAGAGGGAAAAAAATGTTCCTTTCATACAAGTTTTGCTATCTGAAGGAATGGATGGTGGGGTGTGATTGCACTGCGTGTGCAGCCCTCCTCCTGTGAACACTGTCTCGCATCTTTCTCGTTAATGCTGAATGGTGGCTGTATAAATACATGGAAAATAACATTGTACATTTGGGTATTTGTTAGGAATTGATAGAGAAGTTGTGGATTTTTTTTCTCTGTTTATCTGATGTTGGCATTTACTAGAAGATACTGCTTGTCCTATCCATATTGCATGGCATGATACAAATTACTTGGGACATGCAGCAATTAGCGCTCGGTTTCAGTGCTAGCTGCTCTCCCTGGAAAGCCTGACAGATGGTAGGAGTGAAAGCTTTCCCAGCACTTTCCCCAGTATGTTTTGCTGCCAAGTAATTATTACTTTGCTGATTTCTCCAGTGCCTTTTTCCCGTGGCACTTACACATTTTGTAACTTGCTAAACATCCAGGACTAGACTCGCTGCGATGTGGTGTGGCCACATGAGTAGGAATGAGACTCAACTCTTCTCTTCAGTGGAAGAAAATAAAAGCAATAACTGTTTTAAAGTTCTCATGAGCTGGCACATATTATCTGGAGAGATAGATTTGCCTGTTTCTCATTTAAGAATCATTTTTTAAAAAGAAGGAAAAGAAGGAACTAGATGGAAATTATCACTGGATAATTTTTTTTTGCTTGAAAATCAGAACCACTGCTGGTTTTTATCCAAGCCAAAGTAGTAATTATTTTATACTTTTATATTGAAAATATGTTTTTAATAAATCCTCAGAAACAAGCAGCAAAAGGTGCTTTTTCTCTGTGTTGGATTCCCAAGTAATTAGCTATGCCTTTGTCTTCCTTGTTTAGGAAAGTGTTCTTTTTGCTGAAGTGTTGTATTTAATAACTCATTATACATTTTTTGCTTTCAATGGATCTGGAAGACAACTTTTCTTGATGTATATTTATTTGTGAAAGTAGGTTATTTGTAATTAATATTGCTGCTTTCTTTCAGACACCTCTGTGACATCAGGGCTACTGTGTTGTTCATTTCCTCTAAGCAAAAACTTCCATTTGGTCTCCTACATAAGAGGTTTGTCCAAGAAAGATTCCAGCAGTTGTCCTGGGCTGGAATGGGCTATGTCTAGGAGTTGAATTTAGAACACAGTTCTTCTATAGAGGAGCTTTGGGCTTTAATGGGAAAAAGCTGTTTTTGAACACAAACTGAGACAAGTTTCAAGCCAAAGGGAAAAAAAAATCACAACCCAACTACCTATCACACTAGTTGTAGCAATCACTGTGGAATAGAAACCTGGGATTTTGCCATGAAACAGGAGGGACTGTGACAGTCCAGTGGAGCTGTGCCTGACAGCCTGGGCTGAACGTGGTCTCTCACACCAACCTCCATCTCAGGTTATCCCAATGTACTTGCAATCTGTACAAAGTGCCTGTGCAGTTCAGGTGCAGAGTGTGGTTACTGCTGAAGCAGATGGGAGCTGATCTCTCCTGTCAGCAGCGCTGCGCTGCAAAGCATTGACAAGGTCACCCATGGTGCCTTTGTATTCTAAAAACATAACTATTAAAAGAAAACAACCTGCTGGGCTGTTTGCTTTTTCAGCAGCAGTTGTGGTTCACAAGCAGCAAACAGCTTTCCACTTGGTGTTTTCACGAGTTCTGGCATACAGAGGCCAAACTGGATTTTCTCAGCTCTGCCATTACATGCTTCAAATATATTTCTATTCCTGATGTAAATCTGATGGTGTGGACTGTAACTACAGACTCACAGTTGTTTGTTCATGGAGCACTGGAAACATTGCTTTAGTCAAGGCAATAAGGAAGCAGCATTCCAAAACACAAAATCTAGGTAGTAGACACAAAATGTATTTTCCCATCCAAGACTGAACTTTACCAGTTTTGTCTTGGGGAAACAGGCCCCTAAAATTTCCCACTAAAGGAAGAAAACCTGACTTGGTATTCACACTAGAGAAACTGACTGGAAGGATGTGGTCAGGTGTAAAAAATTTACTTCTGTCTGTAAATTTTGTATTTAGAAGTTACATGGTTCTGAATGTAAGTTAAAAAAATCAGTTTTCCAAGTTTATTTTGTAAAATTCCTTGCTGTTCTGCATAGGAAGCTGAATTTCTCATTGATTTGTGGATCTTCTACAAAGTGACTGAGAAGTATGGGGTTTTCTTGTTGTTTAAGACATACAGAATTAGAAGCTAGCGGGACATGGTTATTTTTAGTTTTCTCAAGCTGGTAGGCTCTGAGCTAATAGCGCTGTTATTACAGCTAATTTTCTGACTATTTTCTGCACTTTAAGCCGTGATATCAAGTATGTTTTTGTCGTTTTCCACCTGTGGAAATGGTCATGAAAGTTACACCTTGGGTACCTTTATCACTGTGTACTCAGGCAGTAACCAGACACAAACACATGGATCTAAACATTGAGTGCACTTAAAATTTTTTATCCCTTATTTATACTAACGGTGTTAGGCATTTACCTCAATCATTTTAAACATTGGTTATTGTATATCACTTATTTGGGTATAAAATACTTTCATGAAATAAAATATACTCAATTGTTGTGGATTATTTGTTATCTAGAGGCCTAAACTATACTTGTTAACTGAAACATGATCTGTTGTAACTTCAAAAGCCATTTTTTTGTCACAGGTATGTATTGGGCTGTGTTTGGGGAAAGTGGAGGACACAATTACTTGATTTTAAAACATACTAGAAACCTTATTTCTCTAAAGCAAAGGTCTTGAAACCAACAGGAGTGTGATTTCTTAGCAGGAGGAATAAGAGGAGCTGAGCAAAGAGTCACTCTGCCTGTCTTCCAGTGTTTTGGTGTTTTGGGTTTTTTCCCATTAATTTTTTACTTTTCCAAAATAATGGGGGTGGGAGGAGGTTACTGAGCAAAGCCACCTGCAGAGGGAAGTATACCTGAAGAGCCTTGAGGGAAGGGTGAAGCAAACCACGACACGATAACCGCAGTGTGGGTTTGAGTCTCGAAGAAATAAATAACTCAGGATCATGTTCTTTTTCTTTTCCTTCAGCATCTGGTTATTAATTATGGCTGTCATCAAACATTGCCCGAGCCTCTGCTGAAACACCAGCTGGATCACGTAGTTCAATCTAAATAAAAAGAATACAAATCAGTTATGCAGTGTAATTGAAGAAACTTAAAGTTTTATAGATCTTGATTACTTGAGCATTATTGGAGAGTCTCCCACGTATCAGGATTTCAGCTCATATTGCAGCCTTTCAATTGTTTTAGAAACAACTACACTCCCCTAATTTTATTAGTGTGAACATCACTTTATCTCCTTGAAATATCTCTGTGTGAGTGACTTTAACAAAACACTGTTGGGCAAAAGCTAAGCCACTTTTGTAGCCTGCTGGGCCTCACCTGTAGTTTTAATAAAGGGGGTAGTGGTGACAGGAGTTTTATCAAAACCTGGAATCAATTTTTCTCCTTTTCTCTATTACTTCATATTCTGAGATCAACTGATCTCAACCCATTCAAAGCACAGTAACAGCAGTGAAAGCTGATGCTTTGTTTTTGCTTATAGAACAGAAGAGAATTGGATCATCAACTGATCTTCAGGGACTTAAATAAACAGCCAGACTTGCACATCCTGCCTTAGCATACCAGCAGTTCATCCCAGGCTGTTGGATTGTTGAGGCTCTTCTCAGTGACCTTTGACAAACCACATATAGTAAATAGTTTTAGCTACAGAAGTGCTACTCCTTTCACTCCTTTTTGCAAAACAGATTGTTGGGTATTTGGGGCTTATTATTTTGCACTGCCATGGGTTTGCCTGGTAGTTACGAGACTAACTGACTCTTCAAAACTCTGCTTGAATGGCCTTTAGCTATGGAAACCAAATTTGAAAAGATAGGGGCAATGAAGGTGTAATAGCAGTGAGTTTTAGAAGGCTGCATGTGCCTGGTGTCACTTTGAACAGCCCTGTCCCTGGGCCAGAGGAAGGTGGGTTACCTGCCGTGGGGCCGCGCTATTCCCCGTGTTACTGGAGCAAAGTGGTGAGCTGTGGTTATCCGGGGTGGTTCTGCTTGGCTTTAGGGGAAGAAGAGCTTCCCCAGCCCATCCTGCACTGACCATTTTGTTCCACAGCTGTGGTTTGCAGACCATGAGGGCTCAAGCAGAGACTCTTAAGGCCAGCTCTCACTTGGAGTCACATCTGTTCACTGCTGATTTCCATTTCCTCTTCCTCCACGAGCATGGAGCTGAGGCAAGGCTCTCCTGTCCTCCAGGTCCTGCACCAAAGTGATGTGCAAGGACCCAGTGGCTGCCAGGCTGATGGCCCAGTGCATCTTTGTGTCTCACCATATCTTTGGGATGGGGACAGGGCCTGGCTTTTCCTCTGCAGTGTGTGTCAGTCAAGGGAAAAGAGGAGCAGAGGATGTGGGCTCTAAGACACCATCTGCCCCCCTTGGGCCCAGGTGGGAAACTGCACACCCCCCTCTGCCCCCAAGGCTGCTGGGCACGGTGCTGAGCTCCTGACTTGGAGGAAAGAGCTGCTGTTGGCCCTGCATCTGCTCAGGTTCCTGCAGGGTCTGCTCAGCCTCAGCAGTTGTGCTTGGTGAAATCATTTGGTCTTGACGCAAATCCCACTATTGTCTCTGCCTCTATTGTCCCCATTTCCTTTGTGCTGCATCAGGTCTCTGAGCAGTTCTCTGGTGCATGAGAACTGCATTTTTTCAGATGTAGGCAATTGGGAGGCTCCAGAAGAGGCTGCATGAGCTGTTAGTCCCTATGGGGCCATTTAGGCTGCTGCTGGCCAAAAGACTCTGAGCACACAACCCATGGGGGAAATCTCTTGAGGAGTGAAATGTTACCTGGAGAGATGACCCGAACACTGATGAATGCAAACACCCAAATTTCCAAGCAATTACCTCTGGGAGTGGAAACTCTGTAGGGGCTGGAGCATTGTCTCTGCCAAAGTCAATCAGAACTCCACACTTTGGTATATCTGCTACCCAGATGCCTTCTAACAGCTGTCCCTTATCTGGGTAGAAGTATTTCCCTGGGCCATGCTTCTTGCCATCTTTCCAACCTCCTTCGTACCGATTTCCATTTGCTGCAATTAAATACGTGAACAGATCTTGAAACTTGCACTATTTTGTTTAGGGGTTACAAATGAAATCAATCAACAGAGCAAACCAGCACAGGAGAAGGTCATGTGTTTGGCTCCTCTTACTAATTTCAAAGTGGCCATGGCACTGTGTGTCATTTTGATTTTGCAGTGCTACAATTGCTGTGCCACAGAGGGAGAAAATGCTACAAAGGAGTCCATGCTTGCTCACTTGGAACCAGGGCTGTCTTCACCTGCTTTGTTCTCACAGTGATACTCTTTGCTGACACAAGGAGCTAGTGTGCTCAGGGTAAGGGACCTGGTCCTGAGTCACTCTTCACAACATAAAAAATTACAGGATACAAGTTTCAGATTTGTCACTGCAACAAATCATGCAGGATCTCTGGCTTGAAGAGGTTTGCTTGTCTGGGCAAGGAACAAGAGCACTGATTTCTGTCCAGTTAAAATAATCTTGATTTCAAAGAATACTTTTAGTTAAGTTTTTCCTGAATGAATTACGGGGTGAGAATTGTTGCAGAAGTCTGAAGAGTTTAGGCAGTCAGTTACAGGCTGTTTTTCCAGCTGTACTGCTTCTCTTGGCATTTTTCTGCAAGTTGAGAGAGGCTTTTTTTGGACTCTCTGCTGCTCTCCAGGAATTCACCCATCCATCACTAACAGGGAAAGCAGAGCTGCAAGGGGAAGAGAGCAGCCTCATCCATGGATGCTGGTTGAGCAGGGGCATCATATCCATGGTGGTCCTGGGGCTGGGATAGATCCAGACTACCCTGTTGTCACTAGGACAGTCTTCTGCTCACCCCTTTTCCTACATAGAGTGTTTCTAAACCCAAACCCATTGGGATTTCTGACCATGTTAGTGAAAATACCTTTGAGTCTCAGAAGCATTCTGCCATTCTTCATCACAAGAAATGGCTGAAATACCAGGGCACCCCACAGGGTGCTGCAGAGATAGCTGGGACCTGACAGTAAAGGAAGAGGAGGAAACCAAAAACTCTTCAGGAGAATGTGGGTCTAGTTTACAGGCTGGAGCCTTGGTGATGGTTATCTGCAACTCTGATCTGGTTTTGTGCTTATCTGCAACACCAAGCTGCCCTGCCCACAGGTGGGAGCAGCTCTACTGCACTCCATCCACCAAGTGAGAAAGCACCAAAATCACAGCCCTGGCTGCAAGGGAGGGGGCAGTGAACACCCTGACTGCACTGTGGTGCCCAGCTGCTCCCATCTGCTCTCCTCTCAGAGCACCCGAGGCTGTGTTGCTCACAACCACGATCCCTGTGGATGTGAAGTGCTGTGGTACAAAGCTGTTGGGGAATGGATGTAGCAGAGGCGGCAGATCAGCACGGTGCTCTCAGCCAAGCTCACCCTCACTGGGCACACTGCCACTACAAGCAATTTAATCTTGAGCTGCAGCTCATCGTGACCTCCACTGAAGAACTCCTTTTCTTTCACATGGCAAAGCTGCCGGCACGTGGGCGCACTTCCAGCAGCTGAGCTGAATGCATTAAGCTTGTGGGTATGAAATAATTGCTCTGGCTAATTTTAACCAAAAGGAATCCAGCTAACAATCAGTTGCAGGCAAGGCTGGAGGCAACTGGGCTCTGAAATGGTGCATCAGCCACGGCTCAGCCTGCGGGGGCTGTTAGTTTATAACTAACAGGGCCTTTGACAGGAGCATGGCAGATCAGTGCAAGAATCCCCTGGAAGCAGGTGCTGATTTCATCCAGATGAGCCATCGGTCCAAAGCAACTTTACAGTCAGCAGAGAGAGCACAGTCATGCATGTGGTGTGCAGAGAAGGTCATGCTCATTCCTCCCAGCTGCTTTGCTTAGCTAATTACTAGCCTTGAGATCACTTTCAAGCAAAAAAAGAGATAGAATAGATGAATAATAATATGGAGATAATATTTATTCAGATGTTCTTGGAATGCCATGCCTGGTATGGCAGAGATTCTTGGGATTCTTGGCTTCAGGGGAAAATGTGTTAAACTCCAAGGAAAATAAGGGGGAAAAATTAAATTTTCATCTTTATGCTGAGATTGGCCCTAACATTCCAAATCCATGATGTGCTTGATGTTATTTATGGAAAAAGATTGTGTACTAATGAAACCCCTGTGTTCACTCAATATGAGCCACTGTCGGAAGCAGACAGAGGAGATGGAGTGAACTCAAAAAGAAAACTATGTTGTTGGGTTTTTTTTCCTGTGCTGGAAACTGGACTCTTCTTTGGTATGCAGGGCTAGAAAGCCTGTCTGGCAAAGTGCCTGGCTTGAAAAGAGAGATTTGCTCTTCCCTGACCCAACAGTATATTATCTCTAACCCGAACCAACCCAGTCATTTAAATGTAAATCACAGCAAAAGTAAGCTTTCATGCGTGTGGGTATATGGGCTTGAGCAGCTCAGTGCTGGCCTTTGTGCAGCCTGTGCTGCCTCCTGCTGCAGACCAGGAGGGCAGGGATGACACGGAGCGGCCGCAGTCCTGCTGCAAGGTTGCAGTGTAGCACCCAGAAATGTGGACGGCAGAGACACCCGGAGAGCAGCACGACGCCAAACAGCTTGGAGGGGTCAGGGTGGGGATGGTCGGTACTTACGGAGCCGCAGCACGCCCTGCCCGTTGGGCTGATCCATCAGCCACTGTCCCTCGTAGATGGAGCCATCGCTGTAGTGCATCTTTCCCCAGCCGCTCCGCAAACCATTGCTCCACTCGCCCTCGTAGCGCTCCCCGTTGGGGTAAGAGAACATCCCCCGGCCCTGGAGAGCAGCACAGAGATGGCTGGTTAGGAGCTGCTCTACTGAAAGGGGACAGTGTTCAGTTTTAGGACATCACTTTGATAGAATATTCCATTGTTTATTACTCTTACACATGGTTGCTGGCAGCCCAGCTCTGTGGCTGTTCTCACACTGAAGGAAATGAGATGTGGTAGTATGGAATTTTTTTTTTCAGTTTTATTCCCTTGACAAAACCTTGGGTTTATATCTCAGTGTGTTATTATTGGCATGATTGCTGCTAATATTTAGCTAAAAGCGGGTTTTACAAGTATATAAACCTGCCTGGGGATAAGCAGCATTAAAGGATGTGTCTCTCAACACAGGGATTTCATGTCTTTCAACCCTGACGATGTCCCAGGCTGGCCAACTTCACCCTTTGTTTGTTTTACGTGTATGTTTGCCATAAGAGAAGTCCAGAGGTACCTCCTATGCCAGAAAGTGATACCAATATGAAATATTTCCATATCACTAACACATTTCCCCATAGGAATGAAGTGTTCTTTTTTTCTCTGAACAAATAATAAAACCACTTCTGGAAACAACTAATTTTTCTGAGTATTAATTTTATTAAACTGCATGGATGTAAGGGAGAAACTGTTTTAGAAGAAAACTCAACCCTAGTGATATGTGGATGTTATTATAAATATTTCACTAAAGCTCAATTATGCAAAATCTAACCTTAAAGAACCGGAAGGGAAGCTCCCTCTAACAGACAGGAGCCATGGAGCCACACGCTCATTAAAAGCGTTGGTGGAGATGAGTTTAATTTAAGAGCAGACACAAAGACAAACACAAGGTTTCCATTGGCAGATCCAGAAACGTTCCTACAAGGATTTTCACATTAGATTGCAGTCTACAAGATGACTTTCTCATTATGTTCCTTTCAGGAAAAACAGTGATTTATGTGACAGGCTTAATTTCCAAAAGAACTCAAATTATTTGCCTATCATGCTGTAAAACTCCTAGAAGAAGGTGCATTTTCTGGCAGTGCTTATAATACTGGTTCCTCTGACTTGTTCAAGAACAAGAGGAATGAAAGGGATGGGTGGGGAGCATTAAGAGACAGGATGTGAAACCTCCCATCGTCCTTGGCTGAGCTGCAGGTGAGTCTGAGCAGTAACCACTGCTCTGTTGCAGTCAGTGGGAGCTCTGGGCTGTAGCCTGGTAACCAGCAGATGGGTGGGAATGACTCCCTCTCCAGGAAGGAGACAGCACTCCCAAAAAAATCTTGGATTTTTAGTCTTGACCATTCAATTCAGCCTCAGTATTGCAAAAAATAATACTTTCAGTAATCTTTTTGCACATATGCACCCAACTCTTCCCTGTGTTTTGGGTCCCACTGCCTCACTGCTGGCAGAAAATCTCACTTACACCTCTTCTGTCATTTTCCCACCAGCCTGTGTACACCTTCTTGTATTCTTTGGTCACTGGGTCAAGAATGCTGTATGAGCCATAACCATCCCGCTTCCCAAACTTCCAGTCTCCGCTGTAAATAGCTCCTGTGCTTTTCCAAATCTGGGTGCCTTTACCTGTTTAACAAACAAGAGGAATGACAGGGAGACCATCATGGTTAGGAGAAGGGTGCACAGGACTGCCTTTCCTGCTCCATCCCAGGCAGGGCAGCACTCCCTGCACAAAGTCAGGCTTATGTCTGGGATTCAGTTTAGCTTCCCAAGTTGGAACCATCGTTAATCTTGATCAGGGACTTCCTGTGTGGTCTCTGCTGAATGCACTGAAATTTTTCCAAACCTCAGTTTACTGCTTGTAAACAAGTTTGTCCTGCTCCAGCTGCTCCTGGCTCAGACAGGGTCTCCTTCTCCTGCTCTGTCCCCTGCAGCCCCTGCCACATCTTGGGAATAAATTAAGATTCCTGGAGCCAAGTCAGGAGCTGAGAGAGCTACATGGACTGTGCAGCCAGGACACATCCCTGTGCATGGAGCTGACTGCAGTTTGCTGTATTTGGAAAGGATTTTTAAACATCTGTAATAGAGATATTTTGGGTAATTGCCCCTAAGTGCATGCAAAAGCTCTTCAAGTTACCTATTAGAAACGTTTCTGCATTTTTGCATTACATATATCAAATATATGTTTGTGTGTGTGTACATATAGTCATACATGAATGAATGTTCTTCTAGGAGCATATAGAGCACACAGAACCACTGACCACTTCCTGCCCCCAGGAACCTTTGGAAGGACATCTAAGTTGCTATTTTTTCTCAAAATTATCTATCTTACCATGTTTCAAGTTGTCCAGCCATTCTCCAGTATATTGATCCCCATTTACAAAATAAATTGTGTGCCTTAATCCACATTTCTGGGCTTTCCTGTCCCATTCATAAAAGAGAGGGTCTCTAATCCTGGGGTACTTTATAACGGGCATATTGTCGGTACCTGGAGAAGAAAACAAATTATTATCAGCAATAGATTAGAAATTACTAAGGCAAGTACAGGCAGAACAATATTTGTGAGCCATGCACAGAGACACAACAAACAGGAGGCAACTAAAGATACTGCATAAAGAAACCAGCATTATGTGAAAATGGGTTCATAGCATAGCCCAGCCTGCTAGGAAATATTAAACAAATCTCAGCAGGTCTGGTTTGTGGTGGGCATTGATCTCTGCACCTGCCAGAGATCTTGGGGAGTGCAGGGAAAGGCATCTCCTCCATACAGCTGATGGAATGGGAGTTGTCCAGCATCCCTGAGTCCCATCTGGAGCTGGGACACTTCATACTCCCAGCAGTAATGCAGCTCAGGCTCCTTTCCTGCTAAAAATATCAGTCCTCCAGCTGCCTTCTTAAAAGGGGTTGAAACCACAACATTTCCCTCTCCCAGGAGGCTGTGGACTTGCCCAGGGCAGGCCAAGTGCTTGCCTGGGTCTCCTATAAACCATAAACAAAAGCCAAAAGGTGGCTGTAGAAACAAAAGCAAATTTCTATGAAATCCGTTAGCATCCAGAGCTCGGCTGGAGCCCGGCGGGGTGGGATGCTCCGATTTTGTCTCCTGGGCTCCCCCTTCTGTCCTGATCTGCGGGACCGAGCCATTTAGAATGATTTTGCTGCTGTCTTTCCCTTCTCGGCGGAGCAAAGCTCTGGTTCCTGCTGTGCTGTGGGTGCCGGGGAGCCCGGCAGGGGAGAAAACCTGGACCTTGTGAGGAGAGGGGAAAAGAAAGGTGCTTTAGGTCCTTGCTAGGAAATAAAAGCTAGAAATTCCAACTAAGAAAATACTATTATTGTTCAACCTCAGTTCTGCATTTTCCAGCTTTGGGAAATGGTCATTCAAGAGGAAGGATAGCATTGCTAAATGAAAGTACCTATGTATCCAGAAATGAGTCTTGGTTAGAGAACACCGAGGACAGGATCTGTCCCTTGGTATGATGGAGTCACAGCCCACCACAGAGGATGTTTTTCCAGCAATGCAAACACAGGATACACTACAGCTGCTGAGTTCCTCCCTCACTTTTGAGTGCTGCAGCTCCTGGAGAATGGGGTTCTTCCCAATATTTGCCAAGGGCTGGGTTTTCTCAGGACACTGTGCCCCACTTTGCTGGCTTGAGCCTGCCCTGCCCTTGCTGGGGAAGCAGAAGAGCCGAGCTACAGCATCTTGTACCCGTCCTGACACTGGCCATGACCTCTGAGCAGCTCATGCCTGTGACAAGAAGTCTCTTCACTACCCCTGCCAGATGGGACCATCGCTTTCCCACCGCCACATCCCACCACTTCTTTAACTCAAAGCTTAGGATTTACAAACCCCAGGGAGGATTCCCAGCTGCGGGGGCAGCCCCATCTGCTCGCCATATCCTGCGAGGCACAGCCCGCGCAGAGTACCCGAGGTAATGCGGGCTGGAGGGAGCCACCTCTGTTTGCTGAATCCCTTTCTAAATTTACGTCAGTCATGCCAGGTTTGCGTAAGTGATAACGCAGTCGGTATTCACCTCCCTGGATGTTTTTAGCCGCCCACTACCAGGGCGCGGGGAGGCTGGCAGCGAGGGGCAGGCGGTGCAGAGTCATTCTGGTTGCAGCTCTCGGTGCAGAAGGCGAGACGCCGCTGCTCCCGTGCGCCTCTGCCGAGGCGCTTGGGGATGAGGCCCGTACAGACCCCCGCCACCCCCTGCAGACGCTGAAATGCGACTTTTGTCTGGTCTCTGGTAAAATGCAGCTTTAGCCTGCACGGCCCTGCAGGAAACACATTTTTTTTTTTTTCCCCTGGCTCTTTGAGGAACTTCAGAGCAATGCGGTGTGGCTACTTTTTCCATCTTACATCTTAATGAAGAGCGAGGGAAACACACCTGGCTGCAGAGAAGCGGCTGCTGGCCGTCCCTGGCAGAAGCCGGCCTGGCACCGCACACCCGTGCACACCCGTGCACACCCGTGCACACCCGTGCACACCCATGCACACCCGTGCACCCTGCCTGACAGTCCCCCGGCCCCTAGAATGCCCCGGCTGAACTCAGCCCTTGCCGTGACCCGGCACCACGGCAGTGCCCTGCAGAGGGGTCCCTTTGCCAGCACCCACCGGCGGAGCGGAGTCACCTCCCGGCCCCCAGGGCGCTGTCTGCGAGCGGAATGCTCAGGGCGCCTGTTGCTGCTCCTCCCCAGCCGGGCAGCAGGACAGCCGGACAGCAGGACAGCGGTGCGACAGGGAAAAGCCACGATCTCGGTTTGCAGAGCAGCCGGAGTGTGGCCGCCGCTCTGCCGCCGTCCCCGATGCCGAGGGCCGAACTGCGGACACCGACCTGCGCTGGTGGCGGCCCGGTGCTGCCTGCGGCGGCGGGGTCGCCATAGCAACGTGCCAAACTCCAGCGCTAAGGGCCGCGGCAGCGGCTCCGGGCGGACGGGGATGTGCCGGGACACGGCACCGCACGCTCGTCCCCTCGCTGAGCACGGGGGATGGAGCCCGAGCCACCGGGCACACACAGCGCTGGGCAGCTCCGTGCCCGGAGCTCCGCATGTTCCAGCAGAATATAAAGTGCTAAGAAGCAACGAGTGTTTCACCTCTGCTTGGTGTTTAATACCCCCAGCAGCAGAAGGCTGGAAATGAAAGCACTGATTACAGCAGCGATGAGTAACAAATAAATCAGCCTCGCAAATGTCGGGAGAAATAGGAGAAAGCTCCTGAAAATGCACATCAGCGGTTTTAAAGGAGAAATCTGAATAAATCTGGCATGAATTCCCTCATCCATGACATTTCTTCCACACCCATGGTGCGCAGGGATTGCCACTCTGGCATTATGGGTGTCTATAACCATCTTCCCTAATGGATAATTGAATGTGCACATTTCCAGTATCACACCAAAGCTCTTGTATGACTCCCATGAGCCAAATGCATTTGGTTCTCACCCTTTTACCACATTTTTGTACACAACTCTGCAGGCTGTATGGTAAAAATGTTGAGGCAGGTGGGAAAACCTGTGATGAAACAAAGCAGCTGCCTCTGTAAAGATGACATACAGCTCAGACTTCCCTGAAGGGTGTTCCTTTGCCATCTTTGGTATCTGTGGCATTGAACGTGGTTTAAATGCTGTGTCCATGCTCGGATAGGACAGAGAATGGATTTATTCCAAGTGTGAGTGTGACTAAAGGCAAATGTTGCATTTCCCATGGCATGTGTGAGGGCCATGGAGCCAAAGGAGACAATGTCACTGCCTGGGAAGTCAGGTGTAGGAAAATGAAGTGGGGGGAAGGAAGAGGTGCTCTACAGACAACATGAGCTGGTGTGGAAATGACAGAGGGAGATCTGTACCAAGGGAAAATACACACATGCAATTTCTTGTGTTTATTTTAGATGAACTGGGAAGATGGCAGCTGCTAGCAAGCATTTCCAGAGATGCAGGAGAAGCAGAACTTAAAGACTTCTTTAAGCAGGGATTAAAAAAAAAAAAAAGAGACAAAACCATGGAAGCTGACCAAGTTAAGAAATACTTATACAAGAGAAAATGTCTCCTGCTATTAAAAATGAGATGAAGATATTCAGGAAGGATTTATTCACAGTCACTCATGTTAATGCATTCTGGTTTGGGGCAGAGCCTAAGAATTACTGAAGACAATCATCCCTGTGTTTCACATGGCCAGTTGTAAGGGCTGGAGTGAGGACAGAGGTTTGGGGAGGAAATAAAGAAACCCTTGAGAGAGAAGAAAAAATGCTTATTGCAGCCCAAAATCTACAGCCTGAAATTACAACCAGAAATAGCCCTCTCTGGAAAAATATTAACTATTTTTACTATTTCAGCCCCTATATTGCACTGCACTTAACTGAGAGATTTGCAATTAAAATAATTAGCTAATTCAGACCTTTTTATTTGTTTACTTTTAAAGGGCACAGGCTGCCTGAGGTTTTTGAGCTTCAAGTCCAAACTGTGTCACACCTTCTGCTAACCAGAAGTTAAACACACATTTAAAAATTAATATACATTTGAAAAGAATAAAAACTTTTGAAGAGTTAAAATATTCTAGCAACAAATTAAAATTCACAAAATGGGATCAAAAACTGCCTCTGCAAAAACCTCTGAATCTGGATATGACAGAAGGTGCTGCCTCCATTTCTGGGTTGCTTATTTTAAATTCTTCTGCTCCTGGTGTCTGTGTGTTTGTTATTTTACTTGAGTGGTCCCAGAGTGGGCTATCAGCACCCTCACAGACCCTCCTGCCCCCTCCAAGGAGACTTCACAGAGACATTTATCTAGGAAGAGGCTGTGTGTGATTCCCATCTACAGCTTTCTTACTTCAGATATAAACATTTGAATCATACTTAATTATTTTGTCACTTGATAATATAGTTCTGTAGCTTTTTGTATTACAAGGGTACAGAGTGGGAAAATGTACGCATATTCTTACAAAAAAAGACAAAATTAGACCATCTTGAAGAGAAGGTGGTGATATTTGAAGTTTCATCAGAAAGTTCTTTTGACTCACTCAAATGAAACTTTACTTCGAAAATGTCATTCCATTTTGAGAGAAGGAACCCCCTTAGCAAGTAGGAAGTGGGGATAATTTTTGTAAAGGGTGTCAGATATATCTAGAATATATAACTCAGTCAAGGAGTGAGATATAAACTCAAACTGACCCAGAAATGTCCTAACCAAACTCTCTTCCTCCCCCAAGAGCAGCTGTTCCCAGGAACAACACTGAGGCCACTATGAAAAGTAGGGCCAAAAACTCAAGTTACAATGTGCTAGGAGGAGAATTTGGGTTTTCCTTGGCACAATTCCCCTTGTTCCAGCCTTGCCAGACTAAATTTGGCCCCAGATACCCCTCTTGGCTGTTTTGGTTTCTTTTTCTTGTTTCACTCTGACAGGCATTGGCCATTGACACCAAGGAACAACAGCAAAACCTTCACCAGGCAGTGCCAGGGCTTCAATTCTGCTGCTGTTTGTACTACTGCTACTTTAGTTGTCTGGCAGTTGATTAAACCTTACATTTATTAAGACTGAAAGGAAGCTTTTAAATCTGTCCCTATAAATTGTGCTGTAATTTAGCCCATTACTCTGGAAACACAGTTCACTGTAATGAACTCCACTTCCAGGCTGGACACACTGAAGATCAGACCAAGCACTGGGAGTTTGTGCATGGAAACCTTTCTGCAGCAAGGTCCTGTGACTTCTATGATGCACTTCCATTTTTTTATATATTTCTTTTAAGGGCAGGATTTAATTTTTTTTTTAATTCAATATAGCCCAAGGCCCTCAGTATTCTTCATCTGAAACCAATCATTTTTGAACTCAAAGGAGACAGCTGTTCCAAGCTGAGTTTGCTCTCACTAAGCTTGGGGAATCACCCAAGTGAAATGTCCAAACTAACTGAAAACTGTCAGAATCAATAAATTAAATTTATTCTGGGAACTTTGTAGAATAAATAGAGAAAAAGCATTTAGGGAAACATATGTTGGAATTCTTTAAAGGTGAAGAGTGTGACAACAACATACTGTGGAAGTGGGATGCTCAGATGTGTGTTTTATTGCTGCTATATTCAAAAGAAGAGTCAGGGAAGAGGTGGGAGGGTCTTGGACTCCGACCAAGCCTGTGTTGGTGAGCTGAAGGAGAATCCCCACCACTCTGCTCTAAAGAATTGTCATTAGCAGGATTTAGGAGGGATTGAAGTGAAAGGTTTGAGGTGTAAACTTCACCTGGCTGCCTCTGGTTTGAGAGGCAGCCTTGTAGGAAAAAACATTTTAAATTCTTCCCTCCTTTTTGCCAGGAGCAGTTCTGTCAAGATAAAAACCATGTTGGTTTCACATCAAAACAACCTGAAGTTAAACCCCTGGGTTATCTGGAATATTCAGGCACTTAGATAGTCCTGGAAGCTGACACCAGATACCCTCTCCCCATGAGTTCCTGTTGCTGCAGATTTTTCACTCTTGTTCTCTGATTAACTACCTGCAACAGGGTAGAGGTTTAAAAGTAAAATTATGATGTTAATTCCTGAAGTCACCCAAAGCTGAGAATTATTTACTGACCACGGAGTACTTTGCAAGACTCTTAATATCATTGGAGGCAGATAAATTTGGCCATACTTGAGCTAATGCCTCACTTCAAGTCCTTAATTTATTCCTTAATTGAGGGATAAATCCAGATGAATACAAGATGAATCAGCAACAATCTCCAGCTGAAAAATGTGCCAAGTATTTTATTTATCATAGCTTTTTGTCACCTGATGTTAAAATAGGGACTCATCTACATTTATATTTTGTCCTTTCCCGTTTGCTGTGCTGGAAAGAATCTGTATTTCTAGGACAGGGGAAAAGCATCAAAGGAAACAGCCTCAATTATCTTTAGAGGAAAGAATGAATGGAATTTGCACTCAGGAATAGTCTGGAGGGTGAAGGAAAGGAGCTCACATGTGACTGTATATATATATATATAACTATGTGTGCTCAAACAAAATCTAGCACACAGAGAACAGTCACAATTTCATTGTGATCCTTAACTTGATTTATTAACTCAATTTCTTAGATATATTTTCTGGCAGTGAAAGAACTCTGGTGAGTTGGGGATTAATTAAGATAAAGGCAAACCAGGGATTTCATGTTTGTAGATTTGCTGTTCCATGGCCTTAGGTGATCTCTGGCAGCAGAAAACAGCCATTAAAACTTGCAAGATACCTTGAAAAATGGTCATAAAATATTGAAATTCAGAGGAAAGGCACCATTCCTCATGTGTTGCCACAAGTGAAGGACAGGCGAGATGTGAGAACAGCAAGCATCAGCTGCACAGAGCTCTGCTCCCCATCCAGGGCTGAGGGGATCACTGTTATCTCAGCTTGCTTTGGTTTTATTCACAAAGATGTGATTGAAATAATGAGATTATACAAACAGCTCCAGCCTCCCAGGAAGTGGAGAGAGCTTACAGGTAATTCTGAAGTATTTTGTAATGGTGCAAGGTTAAATAATGCAGAACCAGCTGTAAGGCCAGCCCCGCTACACTCACATTGTTTGTGCTTAACTAAATGTTTTTGTGGTTTCTGTTTTGAAAGAAAATGCAGATCTCTTGAATGAATATTAATTAGCATGGCTTTGTTAAAAAGTTGAAAGAAATCTTTTGGGGTAATCATTATGCACAGCCACAACATGTGTAAGAATTGTTCCTTGTCAAGAGGTGTAGGGGAGAGGTAGGAAAGTTTGGGATAAATGTCTGGTGATTCCTTGGTGCTCTGGGAGAGCTCTGGGGCCTGCACAGCAGGGCTCTGAGTGGGAAATGCACATTTCCTGCCTTTGTATGTGAAACACCAACCACAG